ACAAAACAACTATAAATCATCAAATATATACAGAGCTACTTAAATCATATAATAACGCAGTGAGAAATTCAAGAAATGCATACCTTTCCAAACTCATTCTAGACAATAAACACAGTCCCAGAATACTTTTTTACACCATAAACAACATTTTAAACCATACATCTAATTGACTTCAGAAAACCCCCTCAAATGCACTCTGTGAGGAGTTTGCAGCCCACTTCAGAGGGAAGGTAGACGCCATCAGACGGAATATTTTCCCCTCCATAATTAATAAGGTTTTAGATAAATCTGAATGTGTGTCTATAGAGCTCCGGGAGTTGACGTCACATCTCCCGGCATGCAACAGTTCAAATCGAAACGGCGCCATTTTGGCAGGCAGAAGCCGGCAGCTGGACTATTTGTTATTGTCAGAAAACTCAATCAAACGGGAAATATGGTAGATTCCTGTTGTGCCCCAGGATGCAGAACAGACGCGGACGACATAAGGAATGAGTCATCTACAGGATTCCCCAAGATCTGGAGCGCCGCAAACGTTGGATCATTATAATAAAACGCCCTAGTGACCGGGCGAAAATGAAGCCGTGGGATCCCGAGAGTAAAGGTTTTCGCTTATGCAGCGACCGCTTCATATCAGGTACTTAAACCAACGTTTCCTCAACTGTGTATGGTATTTATTTTAAATGCTTTTATTATGATTCTTAGTGGGCTTCCTAAACTTATTTTGGCGTGGCTTTTTCTGTCTTATTACTCATAGCAACAAGTAAACATCACGTAAAACGTTGCCTCGTGAGTTCTGCGTGCTGCCGTTTACGTGTTTTATGATCACAGCAATTAACCGGCTAAGCTGTATTTTATTTTTAAGCAATGGTTGATCAGTTGTCAGATCACACATTAAAAGCACTTTGGATTGCTATTATCTGTCTCACCGAGACTACTTACGTGTAAATCTGTTATTTGTCTGTCCATCCATTTTCATCCGCGTATCCGGAGTCGGGTTGCGGGGGCAATAGCGTGACTTCCCTCTCCCCAGCTGCCGGAGCCAGCTCCTCCGGGTAATTCCCAAGGGGTTCCCCGGTCAGGTCCGGTGTTGTGCCGGTAAGAAGTCCGCTCCGACAGCTTCTGGCGTCGGAGCGGGCAGTAGAGTCGAGAGTCCCATACCTCTCCCCAGCTCCTCCGGCCGGGGGAATCCCAAGGGGTTCCCCCAGCCAGGTCCGGTGTTGTGCCGGTAAGAAGCCCGCTCCGACAGCTTCTGGCGTTTTTAAAAAGTATCCCAGGGGCACGGTAAGGGTCGGAGATGTTTAGTCTATTTAATTTCTGACTATATAAAACGATTTCTTCTGTTTTAAAGTGTGAAGTAAACTCCGACGAAGTAAAGTCCAAGCGGATCCCGTTCATGCTCATGGTTACATCCGTGTTTGTTTACCTTTTTTGCATGCCAAAATGGCGTCCACTAACTGAGAGTCACGTGGGGTCCGGAGCTCTATACCAGAGGAAACACTGGACAGGTTTGTCCTGGCAGAAGCTGAGACTCTTGATAAAGTTTTCTCCTCAGTGAGACCCTCCACATGTGTTCTGGACCCAATCCCAACTTTTTTTTTAAACAATTTTATGGATCTTTTAGAGACGAGATTTTAACCCTGACAAACTGCTCCCTTCAGACGAGGGTCTTTCCTGCTGCCTTTAAAGGGGCGGTGGTGAGGCCCCTGTTGAAGAAGAGCAATTTAGATTTTAATGATTCAAACAATTGTTGACCAGTATCATTTCTTAGCAAAATTTTAGAAAAGTTTGTTTTAATTCAACTAAATGATTTTATAAACACTCATAATGTCCTAGAGCAGGGATTCCCTAAGTGTGGTGCGCGAGCTGCCGCTAGGGGGTGCGCGAGGTGAAAAGTGTAATGGCTACGGAGCTCAGAGAAGTCTGTCATATGTCACCATTAGCATAGCCAGAAACTCATTTGTGGGTGGGCCAAAGAAAAAGTAAGTGGGCCCAATAAATGTAACTGAAAACAAGTATATTTTGCACGCGCGCGCGCGCGCGCGTGTGTGTGCGTGTGTCCTCCACATGTGCCCATAGGTTCATAATAACTGCGCCGAGCTTCAGCACTCTGGCCTGCGCACGCCGATATGTTCCGTATTTGATCATTTTTAACGGTGTTGGAGGAATCTGAAGGTGGTGAGTCATTCTGGCAGATTGTAATTAACACCCTGTCTCATGCAGGTGTTCTGACATTGTAAACCTCACACACAGAACATTGTGGATGTAAAAAAAATAAATCAAGAAATGATTCCCATTCAGGCTATTAACAATGCGCTGAAGATCTGAAGTTCAGAGTGCGTCTGTCAGAGGTCAGACGCGTTCCAGCGGAACCACGGCTCACGGGTGCACAAGTGAGCACATCTGGGCTGGGCAGAAGTAATTTTACAACATTGGTTTAAATAGCGCCGATAACGAGACGCGGTGACTGAAGCAGCTCATGGAGCTGTGCCACACACACACACACACACAGATTCAATAAGCGCGCACGGTGCGCAAACTCCGGCGCGCCGTCAGACTGAAGGCAGAAATGAGCGCTGCCTCCTCTGTGATAAAAACTTTTAAGAGATTTTATAACAACATTTTTAATTCAAGGTCAAATTAAGATATTAGCTTCTATTTTGGGATGACGTATTAAATTCGGCTCCGCTCCGGCCAGTCGGCCAGTGACTCCGAACCTGACTACAACTCTTGTTACCGCAACATTTGTTGTTCCAGTCCGCATGGCAGTGGATCGCAGATTCAGCCACACCATAAAACAGCAATAAGTCGGTCTGAGGCAAAAGTGAACCTCATGGCTATAGCTTTTCCATCTTTTCCCCTATAGACATTTGATTGCGCACAAGTAGGTGATCAGCTCAAGGTTTAAGCAGAGCAGAAGGAAGGAGAGCGCTCTGGTTAAACGTTCCTGCTTTAAGAAAACCGTTAAATTGCATTTTTCATGTGCTACCCGGGCACTCTAAATAATAAAATTAAATCAAAGGAAATTGTAATGGTATCGAATGTTTATTAATTACTATTTAAAAAATGAAAGTGATGGGGAAAAAGGTTGATCATATTTTTTTAACCCTGTCTGTCTAGTGACTGTTTAGCTTGACGTTTGATATACATACATATATATATATATATATATATATATATATATATATATATATATATATATATAGCCATGCCCTGACGTGGGGGCTGGGGGGTGCGTCGACATGGTCGGGACATAGAAGGGGGTGTGCGGCTAAATAAGTTTGGGAATCGCTGTCCTAGAGACATTTCAGTCTGGTTTTAGGGTGATCCACAGCACAGAGACGGCCCTTCTGAAGATTTTAGATGATTTTAGAGTAAATTATGATAAACGGAAGTTGACAGTGTTGGTTCTACTGGATCTAAGTGCTGCCTTCGATACAGTAGACCACACTATTCTTTTAACTCGTTTAAAACAGATCGGCCTCTCTGGTGCTGTACATAGATGGTTCACATCCTACCTCAGACAGGACTTTCATGGTGAGTTTAGATACCTGTTCCTCAAGGGTCCATGGGATTGCATGTGGTGTGCCCCAGGGTTTAACTTTAGGCCCAATGCTTTTTAATCTTGATATGCTCCCTCTTGGCGGTGTCATCAGGAGACATGGGGTCAACTTTCACAGTTATGCTGATGATAGACAATTGTACATCTCTGTGTCTCCAGATGACTCTCGGCCAATGGATGCACTTTTTAACTGTATTTTAGACATCAAATCCTAGATGGCAGAGAACTTTCTCCAGCTCAACCAGGACAAAACTGAAGTTCTAGTCATCGGTCCTGAGGCCCAGAGAGAGAAGCTTTTACCGAAATTACAATCTCTGTCTTTTAATCCATCTGAACAAGTGAAGAACCTGGGTGTGATTTTTGACTCTGAGCTGACTTTTATTCCACACATTAAAAATATCACAAAAATAGGTTTTTATCATCTAAAGAACATCGCCAGAGTCCGCCCCATTCTCTCTCGGGCCAATACGGAGAAGCTGATGCTTTTATCACCAGTAGGATAGACTACTGCAATGCCCTGCTTTCTGGTCTTCCCAAAAAGAGCATCTCAGGCTTACAACTTCTACAAAATTCGGCAGCACGTGTCCTGATTAAGACCAGGATGCGGGAACACATGACACCAGTATTAGAATCGTTGCATTGGCTCCCCGTATGTTTCAGGATCCATTTTAATGTTCTTCTAATGGTTTTTAAGTGTCTTAACGGTCTTGGGCCTTCTTATCTCTCAGAACTGCTTTTATCATATGAACCCTCACGGCCTCTGCGCTCCTCTGGCAGGCGTCTCCTGGTCATCCCTAAAGTCAGGACACAAACTCACGGCAAGGCGTCCTTCCAGTGTTATGGCCCTCGCCTCTGGAACGATCTGCCGGAGGACCTCAGGGCCACAAAGAACGTTCATGTTTTTAAGTCCAGGCTCAAGACCCGTCTTTTTAGGTTAGCTTTTATCTAAATATTTATTATAGTTTTACTTCTCATTTTATGTGATTATATTTTATTGCTTGATTTGCATGTTTTATATGATTATATTTTAGCATCGTTTTCATTATTTAATAATATAATTTTACTGTCTATATGATTTTATTTATAACTTTTTCTTTTGTCATTTATATTAGCTCTTGCATTTTCATATCTTTACTCATTTTAATCCAGTGTTTCCTCTGTAGGGGCCCTCTGCCCCGGAGCGGTGGTCGACTGTAGCTTCCTGGGCGCTCTATAGGTGGGGGTCTATGCTCCCCCTCCACTGAGCGCTCTGACTTAGTGTGGAAGACCTGATGCTGCCGGGGCAGACGGCTCCTCTGATGGTGTTTCCTTGCCTTACCTTACTTGGCTCATCTGGACTCAGCCAAATATAATTTTTACTTGTGTGTGTGTGTGTGTGTGTGTGTGTGTGTGTGTGTGTGTGTGTGTGTGTGTGTGTGTGTGTGTGTGTGTGTGTGTGTGTGTGAACCTATGGTATGAGTTGTTTCTGCCAGTTGAATCTCTTGGAACCCGCTCCAATTCTGCAGCTGTATCCTAGCAGTTTCTTCCGAAATGGGTACGTAAATAACCATGTTTTTCGGGGGTCGTACAGCTCCTTGTATTTCTCAACTTCCATAATTAATTTAAAGAGCAAGTAACGTCTAAATTAACTTTTTTTTTGCTGATGAATTGTATAAATGTGTGTCTAATAGTGTTTTAAATGTGTGTATTCATTATTTTAGCATTTTGGTGCATTTTCTTTAAAAATTAAAAATTCTGCCTAAATACCACAGTATAGCTCCACCTTCAGCTTAAAACATAGAATTTGACTCATTTTGAATAAATTTTAGCCAATGGCTAAAGAGTAAGATACTACATAAACCAGTAGAGTACTACGTAGCAGCTCTGTGCCAAAGTTATAAAAGCAACGAGTATCGGCCACGCCTTGTGGCGAGTTGGGAGTTGGATTTGCAAGCAAGTGTAGGAGGTTAGCAGTAGTTCAGCATTAGCATATAGCATTAGCATATCCTAGTCTTTAGCATAGCTTTTAGTGTTATACATACTTATTTAGTCTTAGCTTGGCTGTTGGATATTGTAGTTTAGTTAGTGTTTGGCTGTTAGTGTAATTGGGAAAGTAGTTCGGGTTTAGTGCTCCATATCGTGTTAGTATGGTAAGAAGGTGTAGTGTAGTATGGTTGCGGTGGCTCTGTGGGCATTTTACCTACGATTCTGCACGTCTCCGTTTGAAGAGGGAGGCTGTGCCCACCGTGGCTCTTCTGCGATTTAGATGCAGCCCACCGACTCTGCTCCCCCACCATGGCGGGCTCCAGTCTGAGGTGAGTACGCTAAATAAACGTTTTAACATCTTCTAAAGACAATTCCCTACCTAAATGCAAAGTTTGAGAGACGTGGTTCACTTCCTTTAGCTAGTCAGTCGGCAATTCTGCAACAGTGGCTCTAACTGACGCAGCACTAGTTGACAGACAGCATTACAGCGTGAAATCCAGCTTGTGACCCTGTTCTGTTTATGGAATTCTGTTCAGGAGGTCGCATTTCAGGCTCTCCACATCATATGTGACTAACTTTTACATTAAAACAACGATCACACACTATGTTATAAAGCGCCTATATAGGACAGTTTCTTTTGTATATTATCTGACTTTATAAACAACAATGTGCTTCTATTTTTTTTCAGGCTAAATCTACCCAAGACACTGGTTGTCAGACTGATTTAGTAGTCTGCAAGAATGCACTTGTCCAGGCTGACGCGAAGCCTTACCTGTAGCAAAGGTGAATTATTTTTAATAGTCTATGTAAACATTTTATTATTACCTTTGTTGTGAAATAGAGTGATGTAACGATCTAGAGTTGTATTTTAATATACTGTAAGTAGATCACTTGTTATAATCAGAAGAATAGGTTGTTTTTATCATCAGGGAGTTCATTTAACACTCTGTATTGACCTTGAGACAAGAAAAGAGAGAGTTGGGATCGTTTAAGAATTTTATCATAAATTCTACAATCTATCAGGACTAACTCTGTGTTGTTTGCAAATGAATGTGATGTTCGATGTGTGTTTGTGTGTGTCTGTGTGTGTGTGTGTGTGTGTGTGTGTGTGGTTGGTTCTGACTCCCTAGGCTGACGTCATGGAATCTGGTCGTCTTTGTTATGACTAGATATCACGAGGCTTATAAAGTGATGACATGAGCTGCTATTTTGCCGTGTACGTACCCAGTGGGGGCCTCCCAGGTAGATCAGGAAATGCCAGGTCTAAAGACCTCGGATGTGCGCTGGAGCTGGTCGAAGCCGCGGTCACAGCGTTTCAAAGCCCGTCTGAAGGGTCGACCCAGGTAACAATCGGCAGCGTCAGCAGGTGCTCTTATTTTGAAAGGATGTCGTCTGGTTGTTAAACGACGAAAATCTCCAACTTCACAGTTCTTAGTTTAAAGAAGAAAACACATCTGGCCAAGCTGTGCTTCTCTTTGGGATGACGGTGAATAGAACTGAAGTCAAAATGGAACTGAGCTTAAAATGGCGTTGCCTTGTTTTATATCTCTGAATTGTTTTAAGTTTTAGTAAAGCGGATTGGACACTTTAAGTCAACAAGCCAGATTCTCTTGCGGCAGCCGAAGGCTCTGATTGGTTGGAGCAATGTGTCATGCGTTGCCATGGGAATGAGTGTCAGTCTGTCTGTGCATGTCGTCCTGTTTACTCATTAAACCATAAATCATGACATCTTATTTCACAGATCATTCACTTGATTATTATTGATCAACATCTGTTTCGACTAGCTTTAATCACAAATTAAGTACTTTGATTATTGAAAAGCGTTCTTCTTCTCCTTCTGGCTCTTCTCCTGGAATGTAAACAGTCTGAGGAACACCCGACCTTGGCGTTTTCTACACGGGTGTAACTGTGTACAGGGGCAGCTGTGTGGAGCTGAAAATAATAAACTTCCTAACGTTACACCTTCTAGTTTTAATTTGTTTTACAGATTATTGTTACACGTGATTTTATGCTCTTTTAAACATTTATAAATGTGCTGCTTCTTTGTTTTTTACATAGCCAGCCAGAATAGAGCTCACAGCCGCAGTGTGTCTTGTGACACAGGGACCATGACGGAAATTCATCTTCCAGAAAGTCCCAGAGCAGCGGCCACACCCCTGAAAAGACCAAGGTGTGAGGTGTCTGCTGTTGATTCCAGCTTCCACCTCAGTGACAGTGCAAGCTCAGTGAACTGTTCAAGGTAAAAAAAAATTAAAACATTTCAGAATTTTTAAGATATTAACAATTAAATAAGTATGTGATTACATCATGACATCATGAAGGAGGCTACTGATTCTGGCCCTGTGACACTTGGTGGTGACGTGTGAGCTGATTCACCTGGTAAATAAATTTTACATTAAATATTTTGTTTTTGCTATCAAAAGTAAATTAACTAATAACATGCATTATTGCAGGACACTCAGCAAAATATGGACTCTACAACATGAGACAGGCACACGTTAATACTCTATATGAGCACATAAGGTGAGCAACACCACATATTATTATTGTTATTACTGTACACTGTCCTGGATTTGTTTTCTTTCTGCATTTCATCATTAGCCTGGCTGATCACCTGATAACTCTGTCATCTGGTTATGACAGCATGAGGATGTCCTCACACACCTGTAAACTATCAGCTCATCTGGCAGAATAGAGAGAGAAGAGACAACACCACATCTCCTGTTCCTGGAAAGCCTTCAGCCATCCTTCGATGACTGAGAACCTCCATCAGCTCTGTCTCCTGTCTGCCTACAATTATTATAATAAATATTGTGTTTGACAAGTTTTTTGTGCTGCCAAATATCTCATTTAGATTCCAGTTTTGATATTTTAATGGATATTTATAAATTACATTGATTATCACATTTTTGTTGCATGTTTAACTAGCTCTATTGTGATGAATTAAACTAGCACCTCACTGTTAAAAGCTCGTTTTAATTTCAAGCATGTTTAAGTATTTATGGACATGAACAAAAACAGGAAATATATAAATTGAGATTTATTTAATTAATATAACAAATAAGGGGGAAAGAGTCATTGAAAGGCACATTCTTCTGGAAGCTCCTGATCCTGACGACACCAGCCCAGCTGCAGACACCAGAGGACCTAGAACCAAGAGAGCAGCTGTTATCAGTAAATAAATAAATCAGGGCAGTTTTAGTGAGCTGAACACATTACAGAATACGTTTCTCATGGGGTATTTTCATAACTTTCTATGCAGCAGATTGTAACTTGAGCCCAGAGCTCCTGGAGAGCTGCTGTCCAGCACGTTTCAGTGGTTTTCCTGCTTTAACGGGTTAGATTAGCTGTTAAGCAGCTCAGCTATTTGTTGCTGATTAAGACCAGGTGTGTTGAAGCAGATAAACCTCTAAAACATGCCGAATACTAGCTTTTTAGGGCCATGGAGCCAAACCCTGCAGCTAATCCAATGCTATGGCTAACGGCTACTTACAATTCAGAGCTGGTTCTGTTGGGTCGGTTCCGGTAGTTTCAGGCAACTCACAAGCTCAAAACAATAAGGCTCAGGTCCGCTTGTCTCCTCCAAATAGACTTGGTCCGATTCTTCTCGAGTGTCCGGGTAAGGAGGGGGAGAAACTTCCTCCACTTCTAATAACTGCTCAGAGTGAAGGGAGCTAGCATCGTCTAGTTAGCCATCATCTTCGTCACTGCCGCGGCTCCGCCCTCTCGGTCCTCCAGGCAATGCCTACTATTGTTGCATTTTTTAAAATTGATACGTGGGTGGAGAAGGACTCCGAGGCACACTTGACCTGTTCTTTAAAGTCATCCATCTTAACTGCTTGCCTCAGACTTTCTGCCTCTCTGTCTTGTTTGCTCCGGTGAGAAGCCCCCCAAAACCACACCCTCTTCACGTGGTCACACACGCACACAAGTTCGATGTGTGTGTATGTGTGTGCGTGTTCGTGTGGTTTTTCTGCAGTGTCTGATTACGAACACATTTGACTATTGCGGAATTTTATTTTGAAATGCTTTATTTTGTTAACTTTACCGGCCTGCCTCTTATGTCTAGGTTTGACTTCCTGCCAGAATTGACGCAATTCACCCGCGGCTCGCGAAAAAAATAGAGCCGACACCAAAATGATCGCTGCACGGTGCGGGCTGGAGCGCCGGCGAGAGGCGATTCGCGGCACTTCGGCGGCCCATGTGGTCTATAGAATAGCTTAACAAGGGCGCCGAATGAAGGCGGTCCCATTTTCGCGGCGCTTCCGCGGCCGGTGTGTCCCCGGCGTACTTGGCTCATCTGGACTCAGCCAAATATAATTTTTACTTGTGTGTATGTGTGTGTGTGTGTGTGTGTGTGTGTGTGCGCGCATGCCTGTGTGTGTTTGCATATGTCTGTTAATGTTTTTAACCTGTTATGGGAATTTGGAGTCATTCTGTAAAGCATTTTGAGTAGCACTTTGTTTGAAAAGCACTTTATAAATAAAATCTGATTGATTGATTGATTGATATTTTAAAAGATTTACAAGGATTTAACAACTGGAATAAATTTGACCATACAAAAATTGTCAATAGCCCAATTTGTCCATAAAACAGCATAAATAAATAAATTGTCCATAGAGCAGCATGTCTTACAGGGGCAGTGAAAGTGCAAAGAGATGATTAACAGTTTACATGGGAGTGTGTGGTGGAAGAGACTGTTAGTGAATTCAAGAGTCTGATGACTTGTGAAAAAAAAGCTCTTCCGGAATCTGGAGGATCGGGCCCCGATACTGCGGTAGCGTCTGCTGGATGGAAGGAGAGAAGAGAGTCCATGTGAGGGATGTGAGGGGTCATGCACGATGCCAGAGGCCTTACTGATGCAACGGTTGTGGAAGATGTCTTGTAACATAGGGAGAGGCGTTCCAATGATCTTGGCAGCTTTTTAACAATCCGTTGTAGATTGCTGAGATCACCAAAGTGGCAGTTGCTGAACCACACGAGATTACCGCTAGTCTCTCTATGGTGCCCCTGTAGAACGTAGTGATGGGAGGAGGGAGATTGGCCCTCTTCAGGCGTCTCAACAGGTGGAGGCGCTGCTGGGCTTTTTTGGTGATGGAGATGGACCAGGTGAGGTCGTCTGAGATGTGAACTCCCAGGAACTTGATGCGGTTTACAGTCTCTACCATGGAACCACAGATGGCATGGTGGAATGTGCGTGGAGCGGATCTTCCTGAAATCGATGATCATCTCCATGGTTTGTCCACCTTAAGCAACAGTCACCAGCTCTCCTTAGTACACCTTTTACTTTTGAGTTTTATTAGTTATCTCTGGAGCTGAGCCACAGTGATCTTTGGGTTCTTTTATACCTCTCTCACCAAAGCTCTTCTCCCCCGGTAGCTCGGTTTGGCTGGATGACCTGCTCTAGGAAGCGTTCTGGTCATCCTAAACATCATCCATTTAAAGGTTATGGAGGCCACTGTGCTCTTAGGAACCCTAAGTGCAGCAGATATGTTTTTGTAACCTTGGCCAGATCTGTGCCTCGCCGCACTTCTGTCTCTGAACTCTTCAGGCAGTTCCTTTGACCTCATGGTTCTCATTTGCTCATGCATTGTGAGCTCTAAGGCCTTATATAGACAGGCGTGTGGCTTTCCAATCAAGTCCAGTCAGTATAATCTAACACAGCTTGACTTCAGTTAAGGTGTAGGACCATCCCAAGTATGATCAGAAGAAATGCAAAGCACCTGAGTTCAATATTTGAGTGTCACAGCAAAGGGTCTGAATACTTAAGTTCAGTTCTGTTTATTTTTATTTCAAACATCTACATTCACAGTCCTTACAACTTGTCCTCACAATCATTTGTTTGAAAAGGAGTCGACAGAAGTAAACGCTTATTTAGCCTTACCCCCTCAGTTTTAACTCTAATTTATGCACTTTCTTTTTGTCCTGACTCACTCGGACAAAATACAAAACTACATCAAACAACAAACCAAACAAACCAACACATGAAATAAACCATAAACAAACCCTACCACGTTATGTTTACTTTCACATCTTACATGTGTAAATTTCAAATTGACAAATTAAGTAGCAAACAAACTAAACCCTATTATATAGTTTGTAAAAACGGATTCATTTATTTTTCTAAACTAATGATTCTACATGACAAGGTGTGAATGATGATATGGCATGTAATGGATATGAGGTGGTTTAATGTGGTGTGGAATGCTGGAACGGAGCTAGATGTTTTTGCAAACATCTGAGAGAATTTGTGACGTCTGGGTTTTAACATAAATTTGGCTATTTGTTTGTTTAACTACAGATTTGTTTACAAAAACCATCCAACACAATCTGTTGGATCTACACACCCTTATGTGAAGATCCCCATTCAGATCCAGGGGGTCACACGGTCAGGATGGACATGGACCTCGAGGTACCAGGAACCCGTAGATTAGCTCCGATACGACCCATCTAGTTTTGAGATATCTCCAGACCACAACAGGAAGCTGGAATGCTTGTTTGCATCTAAGGCTGTTGTTGTTGGCTCTTAGAAGAGCTGTTTGGTGTCTGCATCAGTCGCAACGTTGCAGAGAGGCTTTTGACTGGTTGTCAAAAGAGACGGGTTTAAAATTGCTTCTTCCCTGATTTGGCCGAATCGGGAGTCAGCTGGAAACTGAATTAATTGGGAAGTCATTCTTTTTATATTAAACCCATCACTTTATAAATTTTGGCAAATCAGAATTTGACACATTTGAGGGCTTTATCAACACATTTCTCAGACGTCACGCCTCCACTCAGATCCTCCGAGAGGTTAACTGTTTGTGGGAAGGAGAATGTTTTAAAAACACTTATGTGAAGTGAATGTTAACATTAATATAAGTATCTTATTATTATATGTAAGAGTGGAGATATTGATTAACTTGTTAAATCAAACACATACTGATCTGGTGTAGATAAGATCTGAAATGGATCGTTGCGGGAACAATATTCATTTTAAAGCCATTGTTGATTTAGGCGCAGATTATTCAAACATTTGATTTGAACATCCTGTTCATTCAACACTGCAGACTCAGGTGCTCGTGTCCGTTCGCAGTGTTGAGGGTCTGACCTCATGAGGAAATTACTATGCAGTGATTTTCTCCAAAATGACTGTGCTTAAATTGCTCTGAAAAGCAAATAATCACATCAGCGCCAAGAAACTTCATTTCCCATGATGCTTTGCACACGGAAGCATTGGGATGATGTCACCGCCTAATACCAGAAACACGTTCTGCGGGAGGCGGGAGCTTGGACAGCTTTCCCGCGACTTCAAAGACTATAAATCATGAACGGAACAAAGAAAACTCCGTTCTTTTGCCCAGGATACCTGGCGGTAAGGACACGCTTGTCGAACGCTCCGACTCCCTTGAGCACGCGGAAGCTCTAAGTGCCCAAGTTGAGCCACGCAACCGCTGGAAAACTAAACTACAAGCCATCAGGTCTGTTCAACCGCTCGCTGCTCTAGCTGCTGAAGGGAAGAACACAGAACCGGGCTGGAAAAATCAGCAACTCCGTCAAACTCACGGAGAACGCGAAAACAGCGGAGAAAGCCATCAAGCCGACGGACGACGCCGAGAACTGTGGAGAAACACGGAGAACCGTCAACTCAAAGAGTGAGGGACGCCTCGCTCTTCTGGTGATCAGAAACTCATCTCTTTCTCTCTCTCCTTCTTCTCCCGTTTCCTCTATAGTCCAGAATAAGCAATAAAATCGCGCTATTGCTTCAAATTACCAGACGTGTTTTCCTCTTTCGTCCCAAACACGTCCGTCGGGTCATTTTGAAAGAATAAACTGCTTATTTATCATTGTTAGAATATCTTTAAATGTTTCCTACTATGGCCAAGTGGTGAAACTAAAAGATATTAACTTGTGATTAATCTTTTGTGTTGTTTCATGATCCTTTGAAATGTTTTGAGTGATTTAAGGTTAAGTTACGACTGATTCTAAGTGCTTTGGAAGTTAAAGTGCAAGTTGCCACCCACACTTTAGCCAGACAAAGGGGTCAGCCATCTTGTATTCAAGACTCCATTTTGAATCCATACACACGCACATACACACACACACACTACTCCTTTGTGAGAACAAAGGACCCCATTCATACATCCTCCATCACACGCAAACACATCCATCTTCAATCATATCACACGGTTATTATTCATTTATTTCATTGTTTATTCATTTGACAAATTGTTTAATTAAATGTTATAAAATTCAGATTTTTGTGTCCAGTAGCTTTGTTGTGTCGAAGAGAAGTCTCTGCTCCAAGGATTATACGAACTTCAAGAAAGACTGATAAGGTTTTGGATTCATTTCCCTTTCTAATTAAAGGGTGGTGCCCCGGAGATATCTAAGAATATCTTAATTAATTAATAAATCAGTAAATATTCCCATATTTACAGAATTTATTGAAGAATCCAAAAGTAAGTTAACGCTTACTAATTGTTCACTACCGAATAACCCCAACAGCAGTCATTTACATACAGTAACGCCCTCAATTAACCGTATTTGGCCACGCTACGTCCTCTGCATGTGAGGGAATTCCCTGTGTTTTTTCCTGGAAAAATAAAAAAACTTTATTGACAGTGAGATCCAGACACTGGCTGTGGTATCGCCAGTTGCAGAGGTTATAAACGCGGTCGGGATAAGGGAGAGGTTGCTGTCAGAAATAAATGAAATAATGAATAAATTGTGGAGTAATGGGTGGTTAAGGAGTCGTTCTGTTTGGAGTTACTTTTATTTGGAAATGTCTGAGAATGCTGCCTCTTCTGAGCTGTCATTCAGTCTGGTTACCTGGGCAACACGGCGTGTATGATCAGGGAGCAGAGGAGGTTGTGGTGGGTTCTCGTAGTTGTAAAATAAAATATGAAATGGAACCGGATTTGTGAGCTTTGTCTGCCGCTCCACAGTGGGTCCCAAATCACAGCATAGCAGAAGGATCTCCTTTGAGATCAGTGCGCTCATGGAGAATGTGTTGCCTCTAGAGAGCACGCTCTTAAATCCTCCAATAACACAGCATAGCCATCACGTGTGTCTATTATTGGTTTTAGCACCAATTATGCAAAAAAGCCGTTTTTCCACCGACATAATTATTGGGTGAAGTAATTTGAGGATGAGGAACATGTGTGGACGACTGAGACCTTCACTTCTGCGGTTTTCCCCTTTCTACCACTAGGTGCTGTTCGTACGCATGGTCAGAGCTGTTCTATTTAGGAACATTTTCATGCACAAGTAAACATTGGTAAATACCACACAATGCGTGAAATCGGTCCTACGCAGGAAATACGCACAGATCTGTTGGTACCAATGTTAGATGAACGAGGGCCCTGGTGTGCTGGAGCAGGTAAACAACCTGCTGCTGGACAGTGGCCCTGGAGGACCAGGATTGCTCACCCCAGGTTTACACATTTACCGTTTCTTAATACACTACAGCAAACATTTATTTATCAGTTTTTTGAGACATTTTTGCAAACAATCAGAAAAGAATGAAATCCAAACCTAGTACGTTAAAGTTGTGTGTTTTTTTATTTTGACTTCATGCCCTAAGTGCTCTGTGGTGTTGCCAGCATCCACCCAGGTTTGCTAAATCCCACATGACAAACTGGATTTTCTGGCTGTCCCTAGCTCAGGGCGTGTACCACCGGCAATGTAGACCTACTGGTGTTTATTGCTTTGCTGTCAGCCGCTGAGTTGATCTCATCATTGTATTTTTCTCACAGATGCTCAGTCCCTCTCTCGCTCTTGACTCAGGATGTTTGTTTAAACGTTACCTGTCTGTTAAACTGCCACCAACAAGGGACGCCAACACAGCCCTCAGGTAGTGCACTTTATTTTACTTTTCTGGCTTTAAAGAAAAGAAAAGCACGATTGGTTTTATTGTTGTTATTGTTATTATTGGTTAAAGGTGTTGAGTCCTAACATGGTGCTGTGACATTAGCGTCTTCTCTGTTCCTACAGGACCAACTGCCTAACTCAGCAGTCAGCCGTTGAAGATCAACTATCAAATTTGAGGTGTTAAATTTTCTGGTCACTGCCCGGATCTAGTTTTCTCCCTAATCTTTCAGGAATAAGTCGACAGCACCATGTCTTCCCAGCCCAGCCTGAACTCCCACGAGGGTGACTACATGTGTATCATGCGAGGCCTGAGAGAGCTGAACCTCAGTGGTCCTTGTATTCCCAGTGATCTGGTTTTGATCGGGGACCATGCCTTTCCCTTAGCGATGAACAGCCAAGGCCAGGTCCTGATGGCTGCTTCTCTGTATGGCTCGGGGAGGATTGTCGTGTTGGGTCATGAGGACTACCTGACCGCTTTCCCTGTGCTGGTGGAGAACGCCCTGGTCTGGCTGAGGGGTGAAGGATCAGACAACCCTTCTGTAGCTGTGCACCATAATGTCCAGGCAGTTCCCAGAAACCTCAACAGCTCCAGGTTCCAAGCAGAGGTAGTAGGGGCCTTCAGTAGTGACCTTAAAGCTGGTGTGTATGTGACAGATGCATACAGCGTGGACGCGGACCCAAAAGACCTGGTGGAGTTCATGAAAGCCGGCGGAGGGGTGCTGATTGCAGGGCAGGCATGGGACTGGGCAGCACAACACCCCAAAGAGAACACCTTGCTCAATTTTCCCGGGAACAGAGTGTCTGGTGTTGCTGGGGTTTACTTCTCTGATCGTCGTGGTGCGGTGGAAAACCTTCCTGTCTACCCACAGATCCCGTCCTCCTGGATGGCGATGGTGTAAGTATACGCTTTAGTTACCCTTTAGTACACATTTAGAGTGGTTCTACGTTTAATTTATTAGCCTTATCTTGTTTTTTTCATTTATAATTTATAAGGTGACATTAATTATGAGAAGATACAGACTGACGTATAACACTGGAGGTTGCTGACACGAGTCAGTGACTCGATGCAATCTGCTGGTTTTCTTACATAGGTAACTTTACCTTACCTAAGCACACTGATACTGTAATGTTTACTCTGTGAAGCACCTTGACACGACTCTTGTCTTGTCATCGTACCATATAAATAAACAATGCTGAAATAGAATTAACATCAATTTTACTTTGTGTTCTGAAATTAATCATTAAAGGTTGAATATGGAACAAAAGCTACATTTAAAATAAAATACCTCTACGGGGCATTTAGAGGTGTGCAGAACAAAGAGACGGTATTTCCTTTAACAGCTATATTTTAATGAAAATATAATCAAATATTTATGACACTGGGTTTATGTTTATCTACAAACCAATTGAGGGCACCATTGAGGGTTGCCAAACAGTCCGCTCAGCACAGCGAGGTTGTGGAAAATGGCGAACTCAACAAGTCGAGGAGCTGCTTTTGGGCCCAGAATGTGTCCTAACGTTAAATACTGTTTTAAAATAAACACATTAGTAGAAAATGTATGGTGTGGTGTGGTTCAGTGTGGTTTACCTATACATAGTTAAATAAAAAATATAAACTTAAAAGAATAATTTCTACTCTCAATACCACTCCTTCCCCCTTCCCAGAGTCGGAAAGGACTTTGAGGATGACTTGGAGTTCTTACTTCAGGGGATTCCAGAGTTTAACCTCCCACCAGGTCTACTAGCTTCTGAGGTTCTGGTCCATGGCCCGCTTGCCTTCCCGATCTTCACCACAGATGATGGACGGGCGTTCCTGGCAGGAGCTTACTATGGTCAGGGCCGAGTCATCGTGGTTACACATGAAGGAGTTCTGAGCAATGAGGTGGAGTCTATGTAAACACATGAGATTTGCTCTACATCAAACTAAACACACTGGAATTGCCTGTCTATTAGAGATAAAGCTGTCTGTGAAATGCAGCCTTTAAAGTGGACATATTATACTAATATGACTTTTTACATCCTTTGTGCTGCCATGTGGGTCTCTACTGCCTCCACAAACACTGCAAATATGAATTAAAATGTCCACCCTTATTCTGTCTGTTTGGTTTGCGGGACTATGTTCCTAAAATAGCCGTTTCAGACAGTCTCTGATTGGGATCAGGGAAATCAGCGTAGAACCCCCCCCCGGCCACTGACACTGGAGGAGCAGCAGTTGTACTCCATGTGAGATGGATTTAGTGCAAAGAACTTCATTCACATGCTTTGTATTGACTATAGAAGTATTAGAAGTATTATAACTAAATAACAGTCATAATATGTCTTCTTTAAAAGGCACGCTTGAAAACTCAGAATTTGATAAAGTATTTTTAATCTCTTACGTTGATTTATTTACATACCTTTATTTCTATGCAGGCAATGGCTCCATTTTGGACAAATGTACTTCACTGGTTGGATGAAGGTCGTAGAGGGGTCATTGGTGTGGAGCCAGACCATGCTTTCGACGTTCTTTCCAAGTCTGGTCTGCAATGTAAGAAGTCGGGCTTCAGGAAGGACCTGAGTGTATTTGTGCGCACAGTCTACAGTGATAGCCACGTGGAAGATATCCAGAACTTTGTAGCTGAGGGAGGAGGCCTTCTGATTGGTGGACATGCTTGGTACTGGGCACAGACAAACCCAAGTCAAAACCCATTAACTGGCTTCTCAGGTATGACAGCAACTTAATGCACCACACAACACCACACCACACCTCACCGCGTCACACCACACCTCACCGCACCTCACCACACAACACCTCACCACATCAGACCACACCTCACCTCAACTCACCTCACCTAACCTCACCACACCTCATCTCACCTCACCACACCTCACTGCACCGCACCACACCTCACCTCACCTCACCTCACCTCACCGAACCACACCAAACCGCACCTCATCACAGCACACCGCACAACACCACACCTCACTTCACTGCACCTTACCACACCACATCACACCACACCTCACTGCTTCTCACTGCACCACATCTTACCACACCACACCACAACCTCACTGCACTGCACCTCATCTCACCTGACTTCACCACATCACACCTCACCACACCGCACCTAACTGCACCACACCTCACCACGCCGCACCTCACCACACCATACCCCACCACACCCCACCACACCTCACCACACCATACCACACCGCACAACACCTCACTGAACCACACCACTCCACACCACAACTCACTGAACCACACCTCACCACACCACACTGCACCACACCACACCACTCCTCACTGAACCACATCTTACCACACCTCACCACACCACACCTCACTGCACCGCACCTCACCTCACTTCACCACATCACACCTCACCACACCTCACCTCACCACACCACACCTAACTGCACCACACTGCACCGCACCTCACCACACCGCATCCCACCTCACCACACTACACCCCACCACACCACCCCTCACTGCACCTCACCACACACCATACCACACCTCACCTCACCATACCACACCTCACCTCACCACACCACACCCCACCACACCACCCCTCACTGCACCTCACCCCACCACACCACCCCTCACTGCACCTCACCACACCACACCGCACCTAACTGCACCACACCACACCTCACCACACCACACCGCACCTAACTGCACCACACCACACCCACCCCACCCCACCACACCTCATTGCACCTCACCACACCACACCGCACCTCACCACACCACACCTCACCACACCGCACCTCACCTCACTGCACCACACCTCACCACACCACACCTCACTGAACCACACCTCACTGAACTACACCTCACCTCAACAAGTTGGATAGTGCGCATGCGTCAAAGTAGGGCTGTAGCGAAGCCTCGATGACGTCGACGGCTCGATTCTAAAAATTTGTCGACGTCAGATCCGGTAGTCGACTCACCACGCCCCCTTGTTGCATCCCCAGGAGTTTGTAAATAGAGGAGGAATCTGCCTGTTTTTCCTCTAGTTCGTCCTCTTCTCTGCCTTCACTAACATCTCCGCCAAATACCGAAAACCCGGAACAAAGTCCGTCCGCTACTAGATTCCTTTCCTGTTTTGCCCGCCTTCGTCTCCCGGCAACGGACAACAACTTCCGGGGTCAGATACGCTGCTCCATCTCTATCGCAGGTGTAGAAAATCACCGGGAGAGTTTCTCCCTTCATAAAGGAGCTTCTTTCAGACATTAGGAGAGCTGTTTTGGTGGTAGCAGTCTCTCCTCCGTGCTGGTCTGTTTGCTGCTGGGTATTTTTGGTTTATTTAAACTTGTTAACTTGAACTTAACGTTGGTAAAGCTACTGTTAGCATTTTCGCTAACAGCTTTTTGCGTTTGGATGAGCTTTTATGTTTTGGTTTAGAGTTCATCGTTTTTGTGGTGCGATCTCCCTTTTACTACATTTAGAGTGTTGTGGGTTTTCGGTTTAGTTTAAAATATGACCTTGAGTTTGTTTTAACCACCCAGTTTAGAGTTTGGACCTTTGGAGATGCTTATTTTGGTCCAGAACCCTGTAATCTTTGCCCAGTGGGACATCCCTAGTTATTTGTACTTTTGTTTTAATTTCCCACAGACAGAATTAGTTTTATTATTCCCAACCTGTGGATGGAAAGATTTATGTTTTTTTTTTGTAGTTGTAAATATATATTTATATATACAGGTGATCCCTCGTTTATCGCGGTAGATGCGTGCCAGACCTGGCCGCGATAGGTGAAAATCCACGAAGTAGGGACACCATATTTACAGTATTTATTTAACAGGTACGTATTCAGTATTCAGACTTTTAAAACCCTCCCTTTACATAGTACTGTATTTTTACTTGTTTTTTTATAGTTTTATTACAAAAAGTGCATTTTATGATGAAATTGATGAAAAAACAGGAATTTCTTGATATTTCGCATAGAAAAATACAGCGATTTGGTGAAAAATGCCGCAAATCGGCGAATTTCCCTTGAATAAGGCTCCAAAGAAAAAATCCGAAGTCGTGAATCCGCGATAAACGAACCGCGAAGTAGCGAGGGATCACTGTATATATATATATATATGTATATATATATATATATATATATATATATATATGTATGTTTGAGTTGGTTTTTATGTGTATTAATTTTGTTTGTGTTGTGTTTTTTCTTTAATCAGACAAGGGTATATTATATGTTTGATTGTGATGTGATTAATGGGGAAGAACAAAACATATTCAGATAAAGGACTAAATATAGGTCACTTGAATATTTGTAGTCTGAGAAATAAGATCCAAGAGGTTATAAGAATTATTGAGAGTTATAATTTACACAGTTTGGCTTTGAGACGCATTTGGACGCAAGTATTGATAACTCTATATTGTATATAAGTGGATATGTACTATATAGAAAGGATAGAAATATAAATGGGGGAGGGGTGGCGTTTCATGTTAAAGATCAAATACGTGTTAGAACTGGGTTTGATCTTGGCTGTATAGGGGTGGAAGCATTGTGGTTGGAGGTGCAGTTGCCACACATTAAATCAATGTTGTTATGTGCTTTTTACAGGCCACTGAACACCCCAATAGTATGTCTAGAAAGGATCTGTAATATGTTGGATAAAGTATGTGACTCAAATAATGAGATTAATTTATTGGGTGACCTCAATGTTGATTGGAGTTTGAAGAATTGTTCTTTGAAAAATAAGTTATGTTCTATTACGGATTCATGCAACTTGACACAAGTGGTAACAAAACCAACAAGAATTGGTGTAGGAGCGGTGAAAACAGTTTCATGTATAGATTTACTTTTTACTAATACAAAATCACTGTGCTCTAAGGCGATGTCAGTAGGTGTCACACCCTGTCCTGTCTCCCCATTCCGTTCAGTCATGTGTCTCTGTTAATTGCTCCCACTTGCCTCTCGTTTTCCAATCACCCAAGCTCCCAGCCCTCAAGTATTTAAACCCCTTCAGTTCTGTGTCTCTTGTTGGCTCACTGTTTCCATGTCAGCGTGTTCCTTATTAAAGGATTTTACCCGTCCCGGTTTGTCTGCCTGCCTGATTCCTCCCCAGCGTGTGGATCCTCACCTCCGCTCCACTCACCAGGGCGCCTGACAGTAGGGGTGGGCTGTAGTGATCAGAATTTAATTATGACTTATAGAAGAACTAAAGTCCCTAAATCTGGACAGAAAATAATTATTAAACAGGTTTTTAGGGATTTTAATGAATGTAGCTTTTGTGCTGATGTCAGAAATGCTGATTGGGCACAGGTACTAGGGAGCAAAGATACGGATGAAGCATTAGAGTTTTACAAAATTGATAATGCCAGTCATAGATAAACATGCACCGTTAAGAAAAATGACAGTAAGGAATGTGGTATCACCGTGGTTAGATGGTGAATTAAAAGAATATATGAGGAAAAGGGATGTTATTAAGTCAGAAGCAATCACATCGGGGGATGATGTAGTATGGGAAAGGTACAAGAGGTTAAGGAATTATGTTACAAAACTGAATAGAATGAAAAAGAGGGTGTATTACAAGAACAAGTTTTGTGAATGTAAATGAAGATAGAAACAATGGAATACGTTAAATGAGGTTACGGGTAGGAAACCGAAGTTATTCCCGACATATTTGGAAATTGGCGATTCATTTTTGAGTAAACCTGTTGATATAGCAAATCATTTACAAGATTATTTTATTAATAAGGTGCGAAAATTACAAGATGATATGAAAGTAGGGTTAGGAGGGGATTTGACTGGAAAAATGATTAAAGATAAAATAATGGGTAGTAAATCATGTTCTTCTTCATTCAAATTAGTGACAGTTGATATGGTGAAGAAGTGTATACAGAAAATGAAGGTGACACCTACTGGTACTGATGAATTGAATGTGAAGTTATTGCAATTAGTGGTGGATGAGACTGTAATTCCGGCGTCTCACATTATTAATTTGAGTTTGGAAGAATGTAAATGTCCAGGGAAATGGAAAATGGCAAAAATTGTTCGTCTTCCAAAATATATTGAGCATTTTTCTGAGAAAAATAGTAGGCCGGTGAGTATTTTACCAATTTTAGGGAAAATAATTGAAAAACTGGTTTTTGATCAAATAACTTTATATTTCGAGGAAAATGAGTTGAATTCTAAATTTCAGCATGCATATAAAAAGGGGTACTCAACAACAACGGCACTAGCACAGATGACTAACGATTGGATGACTAATATGGATAATGGAAAACTAATTGGGATGGTATTATTGGATATGAGTGCGGCATTTGATCTAGTGGATCATAATCTCTTACTGATGAAATTAGGGTTATATGGTTTTCATGAATTGGCCATTAAATGGGTGGAAAGTTACTTAACTGGAAGGGGGTTTATGGTATTGTTTAATGGCAGTTATTCTCGAAGGAAGAATCTTTTATGTGGAGTTCCGCAAGGAAGTTGTCTTGGACCATTGTTATTTTCAATTTTTACTAATGACCTTCCATTTATGTTAGAATGTGCCACGATTGTATTATATGCAGATGATTTGACTTTATATGTAGCGAAAAGGAATCTGGAGGAATGAAATTCTATTTTGGAAAAGGAACTGAGGTTAGGAGAAGGGTGGATTAATGAAAATAAGTTAGCTATTAATGTGGAGAAGACTAAATGTATGGTGATGGGATCACCTCATTTGTTGAGAGAACCTTTATTAATTTTATGTTTTGCTGTCCAGTATGTGTGGAGTAATTTGCTTTGTATGTTATGGGAAATGTATGTTATTTTGGTGCTGTATTGGGTGGAATGTGGTGTGCTCTTATAGTGGAGATTTATATTGTATAGTGAAATGGATTGTTTGTTTGTGAGCCCAGTGTTGATGCATGAATAATGCTTTTTTTTTTTTTTTTGGATGATGTTATGACCCCAGGAAGAATAGCAACTGTTTTAACAGTGGCTAATGGGGATCTTAATAAACAAACAAACAAACCTCACCTCACCTCACCTCACCACATCTCACCTCACCTCACCACACCAAACTGCACCACAACTCACTTCACCACACCACAACATACCTCACTGCACCACACCAACGTGTTAATGTCTTCTGTTTGACCTCATCATTCTCACAATTTTGTGGAGGAATTTGTGTTCAAATTCCTTTAGTTCTTTCTAGTTTACAGACCTTAATTTTTGCACATTTCACCTAATCTGTTGCTTCATTTCCACCAGGGAACAAGATTCTGAACAAAATGGGTTTAAGCCTGTTGGGGGCGACCATTTCTGGAGGAATATACAAGGCCCCCATTCCCAGCCGGGCAATCCATGATTCATACCACTTCCGCCACCTTCTGCACCGCTTTGCTAGACATGTGACTGCGGGTGAAGAACTCAGCCAACATGAAGAGAAGCATCTCAAAAAGTTGGGCAATGACTGTGCCACCTACTTGAACATGGAGGCTCATGACTGCTGCTTCTACTCCCAGGTGCTGTCCACACTCACTGATATCTTGAAGAGGTCGGGCATGCCACAGGTGAGCAAACCTTAAAAATATTCCTCTCAAATAGCACAAATCTGGTCTGGTGATTGCTTTTACATGATCAAGAACACCACACACCACCTTTTGGGTACTACAACCTCTCATCTTGTTTGTACTGCCAAGGTGAGTGACGCCTGTCCTGTCAATACCCCCAAAGACCACCTGCTCCTCAGTGTGGGGGCAGAAGTGTACAAAGTTTGCCCCAATCCAGATGCCCTTCTGCCCCACCTCATCAAGGATAATCCACTGCTGCCAGTAGTTCACAACTACAGATTAGAGTTCGATGTTAACACAGGAGGTCAGATATGTTTAATGATCATAAATACCATGTGTGTCATTTACAAGCATAAGCCACACGTGTCTGTCTGTCTTTCTGTGTCGTTCTGGTTTTCTGTCTGTCTGTCTCAGGAGGCGAGGAGTGGCTCAGCACAGGTCTATATCTCTCTCCTGGAATGAAGACCTACATTGCCATACCAGCAGAGATAGTCAACATGGGATGGAAGGTACTTCACACAGAATCAATCATTGTTGCTTGTAATTTTAATAATTCTGCATCTCTTTGCAAAGCCCTACCCGGTGTTGGGAAAGTTAGTTTTAAAAACGAACTGGTTCAAATTCAGTTCATGCAATTTAAAACACCACACACCACCTTCATCATTTAACATTTCTGAACTAAGTTCACTGTTCCAAAAAACTTTTTTCATTAACATGAGGAGAAGCTGTTTGAATGGTTTTCATAAAAAAGGTGAATTATTAATCAACTAGAGGGAAGAACCAGGCTGAGATTGGAAGCAGGGATGTACCTCAAATTTAAATATTCAGAGTGCAAAACATTTAATTATGTTTAAATTGAGGAACTTCTCAAATTCAGTGAATTTTCTAACTTGTTTGCCCAAATAAAAGAATATAGAACTTGGGTCATAAAAAGCAACTATCAGCCCCAGATGCTTTAGTGAAAAACAAAGTAATTAAAAAATAAACAAATAGTTATATATTACCAGTGCCAGTGGCGGTTCTACATCGAATTACTCCCCGGGCGAGGCCCCCTTTGAGCACCCCCCCCCCCCAACCGCCCCCCCACCACCACCACCACACCACCCCACCCCACCTGCATGAACACACGTATGTTTTCTACAAACAGGCATGTTTTATTAGAACGACTATTGAACATTCATTTTTCTAAGTTGCACATATTTACATTAATTACTATGAAGTTGTCAGAATGTAAAGCACTATAGATTATATACTGTATCAAAATATATAGAATCAAATATACAAAAACAAACAATAACTAAATATTAAGAATATATGAACATAATAGATAATAAATATTCTAAATAGCAAAAATATTTCACACATAACAAACTAAAGATAATCACTACAGCATTGCACTTAGAATAGAAAACACAAACTAAAATTAAAACCTAACCTTGATGCAACGTCATCAATAATGTCATCATATGAAATCTGCTCCCCTACTGAGTGATTGATACTAATCAGAGCCAGGTTAGTGAGCCGCCCCTGAAACATAGGTGACCTCAGGTATGACTTGATCAAGTTTTGAAAAGCTCCTCTCAGCTTGAGCCACAGTGACTGGCAGAGCAGTCCAAAAGTTGGGGTAGATCTCCAATAGATCTTTATCATGATCCATAATATTTTAGAATTGCCTCTGAAATTGTAATTTAAACTGACATAAAAAAAACTGTAGAGTAGGGCTGAAACGATTCCTCGAGTACCTCGAATAATTCGAGTACAAAAAATCCTCGAGTCAAATTCTCTGCCTCGAGGATTCGTTTAATTCATATGTAATTAATTCATGGCTTTGCAGTCGCCCGTGGTCATGTTTCACCCGGACTGAAATAAGTGACGCACATGCCCACTGGACTGAATCGCACACGCGAGTAGGGAATGTAACTTAACTTTATCTTAAGCTATGGCGGACAACGTGGACCCCGGTGGAGTGCGAAAAAGACAGAAAATGTCAAGATGTGGAACCATTTTTCACGTCGTAAGGTGGAAAACGTAGTCCAGTGAAAATACTGTAAAATGGATTTAGCCTACCACAACACCACATCCTCCGTGCTGCAGCAGCTGTAAATGTCACTTCTGCAAGCGGACTCGGAGCCTCTACAAGATAATGCATTTTAGCCTGTTTTTCTATATATTCTGCGGACACTGCGACTTTTTCGTTTGTAGCACTCAAGTTTCAGCTCACACCGTACGTCTGGTAGCAACACGTCGGACTTAAAATGTGCTAAAAAATAGCATTTTTACACAGAACGTCGGACTTTTTATTGTGTTGTTATTGATATTTGTTGTCCCTCGGGATTGCTGCAGGATTACTGGTATTTATAAGAGGAAAACGAAAGAAAGTAAATAAATGTTTTGTGATCAGTATAATTTGACAAAACCACGGCAAACATGCTTTCTCGACAATCCTTGTTATTGCGTGAGAAAAAAAGTGTTGAAATTAAAACGGACGTGTGTTAATAGGGAAACAGCCGGCGAGCTGTTTGCGCATGCGCCGTGAGCGGTTCTGGTTCTGTTTGGGCCGCAGCCGCCCGCAGCGCTACTTCAACAGTTATCCTCTGGCTTGCAGGCTAGCAGATTCTCGCACGAGGGGAAAATCGGCTCAGGTTGTGTACTTATTTTTTGCACAGGCATTTGTTTACTGTGAAGTAAAGTTGAAGTGCTGAAGTTTTGCAAACTAATTTTGAATAAAACTTGAAGAATAACTGGCAACTGCTTGCTCATTTTAAGAGGTCTTTCATAATTATAACATGCTATTTGATATAATGGTTTACAAACACAAAGGGGTAATTTATTAGAGTACTCGATTAATCGAAAAAAATATTCGATAGAGTACTCGATTACAAAAATATTCGATAGCTGCAGCCCTACTGTAGAGTACCAAAAATGCCAACTTTTACAGAACAAATCATGTAAAAAATAATCAGTGCAGCCATCTGCAATAAATAAACAGGATAGTTAGTGGTGACTGGGGTGTTTTCTTCTGCTTGTAGAGTTGTTTTATTTATTATGTGAACATGATCAACATGTGTTTGTTGTTGTTCAGGCAGGCCACAGGCTGCAGCGAGCATTTAACAAATCCTAGTTTGAATCAGTAAAAAATGATTCAAGGACTTTTTTCGAACCATTTGAATATTCGTTTCAATATTTCAGCCCTATTAGCTCTGTTAGCAATGAAGTGACTGCATTTAACCGTTAAAATCCCAGTTAACTGGTTCAAAAAATTGAAAACATGCATCATGAGAGCTACATACCTTTATCTTTCTCCTCTTTTTTCTTTTTTTCCCCCTGAATGGGGCTCCTGGTGGTTTTAGCCTTTTTATGTTCATCTCTTCTGTTTGGCTCCTGACTCAGTAAGCTTCCTTTAGTCAGGACTAAACAATTTGACCTTGATGGGGGGGTGACCACAAAATCGTTTTGTTTTTCCGTTTTTTATTCGGCCATTTCACACTATTCAGAGAAACCTGAAAGAATGATAGGCCTGTGTTTATGATATTATGAATGAAATATGGAAGAACGTTAAGATGTGATTGACTTTAGCCATGTTAATACAGTTGATTCAGCCCCTGCACGCTCATTCATTTGGGAAAGACGCAGAGGTGAATTCCCCCGCCGCACCCCTCCCCTTCCTGTTCTTCATAGACACACGGTGCACGTGAACGTTCTCAGTCAGCAGGAGCGCCTGCAGCTGCAGGGGGCGCCAACTTGCTGTTTCCAATCCAGACACTGTCATATGACAGATAATAGAAAACCTCGGTGCGGCGCAGATTTCCTTTTTTTTTTTTTACTCCGCGCTTGTGCGCCCCTTTTGTGTCATGAAAAAATGCCGCCCCGGGCAACTGCCCTGTCTGCCCGTGCCTAAAACCGCTACTGACCAGTGCAACTCTGTGACCAGTGTTGTTAGTTCTGGTTTTCCCCCGGCTCAATCCAGTTAATCCCATACTTGAAAATTTCATGTTCTGAGTAGAAATATTGAACTGGAACACCCTCCAAAGTCAGAAAATGTTTTTAATTCAACTTCGAGGTTGAATATGGCAGCTCCTTGTAATAACACTAGTAGCTGTGGCGGAAACATGTTTTCTCACAAGATAAACTTGTAAGAGTGCATCTAAAATTGATGTTATATACAGTTATATATTTTCCGAGGTAAAAGGAGCGCACCATGATGTGCGATCTCCACACAGCATAGGCATAGAAGCATAGACGCCGCACTGCCTATGGTGGCCACATTTGCGGGTTCTACTTTTTTTCAACTTTAAGGTTAACAGGATGTTTTAACGTCAAGGCGCCTGGCCTTGCGAGACGATGTCTGGCGAGGCCAGGCGTCTTGCTTATGAGGACACTGTTCTTCCTTGGTCAAAGAAAACGGTTAAATGGAACAGACTAGCATCACGTGACCGTGGCTTCCTCGGTGGTCACGTAGCGTCCTGATACACGGGAGATAATGTTTTATTTTATATGTATTAGTTTCAATATAAATATAAAACAAGCTTTTACCTTTTGAAATTGTGTATATATTTATTAAATTAAAAATATAAGTGAGTTACTACCCGCTAGCCACCGAAGCTGCAACTACTAAGCAACTAACCGACCATAGATAACGTCTTTAAACAAACATTTTAAATTAGTTGACTTACTTTTAAATTTGAAAATTGTCCCCGAAGTAGCTTCCGGCTTTTGATCCGACGTCCTTTTGAAAATACCGCAGTGTATTGTGGGTAATTTTTGACCAAGGCTAGGCTACAAGACACCTCCCATGTATCCTCGCTCAGCTAGCTAAACGGCTAACAAACGGAGAGGACACGCCTCGGTAGAACATGAACATTGGAACACGCCTTGGCGGCCCCCGATGACGTATCTCCTGGGCAACCGGGGCGGGGCCAAGACATCAAGGCGAGGTTCCTTGGCATTGAGAAACATCCCTAGTCTTTAGCTCCGTGGAGATTCGGACCTCGAATGTCAAAAGAACGTGTTTATATACCTGTTTGTACATTGATGAAAACATCTGGTTTTTCATCTAGGAGCAGGGATCGAATTATGGGAGAGCTGTTTATCCTACACATCCAGGGAAAGCCTGGAAAATATTTCCACTTATATTACATCATTTATGGACTCAGCGTACCGGGGGTTCTTTGAGCGGAGAGCATAGAGAGCAGCAGAGGGCTGATCTTGGTGCGCTCCAGGCGGCTGTGTTCCGCGCACGGTCCATTCTCAAAGTGGTGCAACCAAAAACTATAATTAACCCACGATCGTTCATGTCCTCTGGTATTCTGTCTTTTAATAGTGCCTGATGCACTCGCTCATCATGTGCTGCGGTGATTTCACCTCACTCACGTAGCATCGAAACGTGCGCTCTGCTTTGCGGTCAGGAGATCCCTTTGATCTGCTCAAAAGTAACTGATGAGGTGAAAAAGTAAGAATCCAGGCAGCAGTTTTTCTGGGGAGTTTAGAGGAGATGCAGGAAGATGAGAGA